GCTCTCCTTTCCTTGTTTCTGTCCTCCTTCCTTCCCTTACTGTGCTTCTTTCTTTCTTCCTTCTTTCTTCTTTCCTTCCTAATTTAACTAAGAACTAGAGGAAACTACTTTTACAATACCATATTTTAAGCTTGGAGATAAAGTCCCAAACATTTCATTGAATTTCTTACTATCAAACTCCATAAGAGAAAGTGAACCCAACACTTTGGAAGTTTTATTATTTGGAAGCCTTGAGGCTTCCTCAGTTATCATCTCCTTAACTGTTTTCATTTCCCTACCTGATCTCTGAAATACCGCTATCCTTTAAAATTTCAGTTTTAAAGTTTCTTACTACCATTACTAACTTACCCATTCTGGGTTTCATTCTAAGAATTCCATAATCTTCATTTTTCTTGCTATTTCATATCTATTTGAACTAGACAGAGAAGCCACAGAAAAAGTGCACTTCATGTTTGCAAGACAAATTGAATTATAGGCTTTGTAATAGTGTCTCCAATTAACATGTTCCCCTTGTTCTTTAATAAAATAACTCTCGTTTTTACCTGAACAAATCGCCATCCAGTTAAAGGATAACATTTCCAGGTGTCTTTTGTAGCTAGGTAAAGTAATACCAGGACATTTTGACCAATGAGAAGTGAGTAGAAGTGTCATACTTCTAGGAAGTCCCTTAAAGGAAGGGAGTTGGCCCTTCTTTTGCCTCTCCTTCTTCTAGTGAAGGGAGTCAAATAACCATCTTGCATTAGAAAGTTAAAGCCATGTGCTAATAATGGTGGAGCAGTAGGGAGAAGATTCAGTTTCCACTGCCCTGGAGAACTGCCACTGAATATCTCAGGACCTCTTTTATGTGAGAGACAAAGATATTTATATTTTACTTAAGAAAGTATTTTGTAAAATTTAAAATGTTATGTGACCAAATCTCATCCTATCTAACATAGCTATTACATGCAGGTAGGGGTGTGTGTGTGTGTGTGTGTGTGTGTGTGCATGTTAAGTTCAGGGGTGAAGAAAGTCTAGAATATTCAAAGGAACAAACTTATTTCCAGTCTTGGGAACAGGCTATGACCCATAGTAACAGTAAAGCCATCTTTTACACGTACTATATTTATATATGTACTTATATATTATATACATATATATATTTACTTTTGAGAAAGCTGGAAAATATTTTCAAGTGTTAGAATTTTATAATAATTTTAGAGTCTGGGTCATATTTTGGTGTTTTTGTCTTTAATTAATTCAAAGAAGCAAGCTCATTAGACCTTCTGATGGTGGCCCACATTTTCTGAATTTATTTGTACCCATGGAATCCTTTTTTTCTTTATGACAGACTTCTAGGTTAAGTGTTTTCACTTCTTTCTCAGGATTCTATCTAAGGAATCTCAGAGAGGTTAAGGAACTTTTCTAAGATCTAACAACTAAGAATAAATAGGCAGAAATAGGATTCCATTCCCTCCCCCAGTCATTCATAAATGAGCACACATTTCCTGAGTAATATGTAGTATGCACACATTGCTGTGCAAAACACAAATGAAAGCTAAAACACAACCTTTACCAAAAGGAGCCGGCAGGCTTAGAGGAGATACTAAAAGACAAAAAGATATGGACATGCTATACCACACCAGATTCACTCTCAGAGCCAGCGAGTTCCAGATAAAAGTGTAAAATATGGGATGAATCTCACCAGGATGGCTGCATTGGGGAAACTGTGCAGCTGGGCTTGAAAGTAAGGATGGGGTTGAAATAGGAAAGGATGGGTGTTTCATGAAAAACCTTACTGTAATAAAAATATGGAAGTGGGAGCCGGGCACGGTGGCTCACGCCTGTAATCCCAGCACTTTGGGAGGCCGAGGTGGGTGGATCACGAGGTCAAGAGATCGAGACCATCCTGGTCAACATGGTGAAACCCCGTCTCTACTCAAAATACAAAAAATTAGCTGGGCACGGTGGCACGTGCCTGTAATCCCAGCTACTCAGGAGGCTGAGGCAGGAGAATTGCCTGAACCCAGGAGGCGGAGGTTGCAGTGAGCCGAGATTGCGCCATTTCACTCCAGCCTGGGTAACAAGAGCGAAACTCCATCTCAAAAAAAAAAAAAAGAAAAAGAAAAATATGGAAGTGGGAACGAGATCAGCATGGGTGTGAGACAGTGAAGGCACAGTATAGGAAGAATTTGTGGGAGCAGATCCACCAGTGCTGAGAAATCAGGTAGGGGCTACAAGGTGAGGCCAGGTTTGCAGGCCCCAGAGAAGGTTCAAGTGCAGAGATACCTCCTTCATTTATGGTTAAGGAACCAAGGCATTTTCATTTCCTACTCTTTAAATAAAATGGACATTCCTTATTGACTCAGGTTTATGATAAATAAAAAAAGAAATTGACTGGCTTAGGGGTTTTAAACCATTCCAGACTTTGTTTACACAGGGAGAGATTTTTCAAAGGTCAAACCTGAACTGCTGTAATCACCTTTATATATCTATGTTCAGTATTATTCTAGTTCCATAAACAAGCTTAAAATAGGAGTTGATAATACCACTAGATTTTAGCAGGGGAAGAGCTTCACATTTCTGTATATCCACAGCCAAATGCATTTTTTTCAAGCACGGTCAGTATTTCTGGAGAAACTTTGCATTTTATGGAATGAGTTTAAGCAATTCACCAGAAATGACTCCAATTCCTTTTTTATGTAGAGTCAAGAATGGGGCTGTAGAAGTATATACATTCACATGAAAAGTTGCTACAAATATTATATGAAAAATAGCATACCACAAAATAGTAAAATTCCATTTTTAGATTAAAAACATAATACATAGAAAGGCTATATGGAGTGTATAGCAATGGTTTTCTCTGGGGACAGACTTGAAGATCAGCTTTTCATTTTCTTTTTCGTGTTTATGTATATTTTTAAATATGCCCACAAGAAATATGTATTCTTTGTGTAATTTTTCTCCAGGTTAGTATCTAAGGACACAAGAATTGGGACATACATGAGGTGCTAGAAATGGTTGTGTTTTAGGACAGGATCAGAAAGGGACTTTATTGTTGTGAAAGAGGGATAGAAAAAATAATGCCAATATTTTTCATTAAAATAATGACATGATAACAAAATTATAACCCAGAGGTTCTCATGTATATATGGTTATGATGAGTTTGGATAAGTTACCCAAACTTCTGTAGGCCGTATTCTCCCATATATAAAATGAAGACCCGGATACTCTTTTTTTACTGTTATTATACTTTAAGTTCTGGAACACATGTGTAAAATGTGCAGGTTTGTTAGATCTGGGTACTCTTAATGTCTCTTCTAGCTTGAAAAGAAACTGCTGTGACTGATACCTTTCTCAACAGTCATGGGACTTGAAGCAACTTTACCCACCTTCTACCTCAGACTGAAAGAAGGTTCTGATTCCTACCCACATGCCCAGAAAAAATACATATTATCTAAGAGACAAACTTAGCCAGGCAAGGGCAGCCTCTTATAACCCAAAAGTGTCTTAGGCCCTAGGATAAACTCAACTGTTAGAATTGCTAAGGAAAAGTCAAGTTAATTACTGGGTTGTCTACTTTCAGACAGGATTATACTTTCCTGTGCAAATTCCCTTTCCCTTTTGTGAAAGGAAAGTTCCTCATCCTTGGATCTATGCCCAGTGGATTGTGCTTTGCCTTGGGGCCACTGTTTGGCAAGGTTTAGTTCACAAGATAAGTAGATAATGGGAGATCAGTGTCTCTACCGAGTACCTTTTCATATTTTTTCCTTATGACTTTTTTCAATTGTTACTATATCTGCCACTTCCATACTCAATCTTCCCACTCTTCAAAGTTTAGCATTCAGCTTCCCCAGGAAATGTTATCCAAACAAATTCTTCCATAGTAACTATTCCCTTGTAGGAATTTTCATGCATTTATTTCCAATCCCACACAACTGAACACTCATCCCATCTTCTTGTCTATGTTATCATCTACTTCTCCGTGTAAGCCTTTTTACTCTAGCTGGACTATGAAGACTGCGATAACAGAGATAAATTATTTAACTTTTCTCACTGTCTAAGTAATACCTGGTATACTGTTCAGGCCAAAGAAGACAGTGATGGTAAAAGACAATTTTGTTTAATGAAAGTTACCAATTTTCTTTTAAATTTTGATTATTTTTTTTTTTTTTTTTGGAGATGGTGTCTTACTCTGTCACCCAGGCTCAAGTGCTATGGTGCCATTTTGTCTTACTGCAACCTCCACCTCCCAGGCTAAAGCAATTCTCCTATCTCAGCCTCCCGAGTAGCTGGGATTACAGGAGTAAGCCACCACACCTGGCTAAGTTGTTAAAATTAATGGGGTTTCACCATTTTGGCCAGGCTGGTCTCAAACTCCTGACCTCAAGTGATCCACCCGTCTAGGCCTCCCAAGGTGCTGGGATTACAGGGGTGAGCCACCATACCGACCTGAAAGTCACCAATTATTGATCAAGTTTACTTTTTGCCAGGTATTGGAATCCAATATAGTGTCTGTAGCAGGTATAGAAAAAGACCAACACTTAAACCTAAAGGTTCAATCTCATTAATTTTGAGATTCAGAAAAAGGGGGCTTTGCCTCTACCATCATAAATACCAGCTCACCTTTCTCCTGATACTCTACTAGTAGCCTTGTGGAGACTGAAATAACTTGGCCTTCTTGTAAGACTTAATATGAAGCAAATCGGTAGAAAAGTAGCAAAAAAGCAAGATATCTGAATGCCTTGAAAAATCAGAAAAGAAAGAAAAGGTCATGGAGTTTGGACTATGATAGAATATGGAAGATGTCTTAGAAATAATCAGTGAAGTCATCATTTTACAGAAGAGCACAGTAAGGCTCAGGGAGTAACTTGCCCAAGGTAGATAAATGGCAGAATCAACACCAAAACTTATGTCTCTGGCCTCTGAAGTCCAGGATTCTTCCTAATCTGATCACAATTTATTTTTTCTACAGCATTCTAATGAAAAAGATGCATTAAATAATTGTACTCATTTTCTACCAGGATGCAAAGTGTCCTAGAAGAAGGAAGAACATGCAGTGGAATGATCCAACTTTCCTAGTTCCCATGATGCACTGCTTTCCTCTCTTCATGCCGGTAATATGGTTCCACTTTTATATTCCACAGTTCTAAAATCAACGCTAAGATTAAAACTAAACAATCAAACCAAAAGAACATACCACTAGTTCAACTTTTGGTTAATAGTAGGAATGACTCATGAGATAATTCCTGAGCACATACGATATGGGAGTCCTCTGCACAAGCGGGCTTAAAATCCTTCATGAACATTCTCAAAGCCTAAAAGTATGTTTGTTAAACAGTCTTCTAAAATGGTGTTCTTAACCTAATCAGTTTTGCTAAAGTTATATAGGTGTTGCATTTGGTTGTGTGTGGTCCACTGGAAATAGTGTGGTCATCTAAGACCTAGGCAGGCCAAATCCTCTCACTGATTCTGTGATGGGAACAATAGTTGGAGAACATCCATAGTTATGCAGCTGATATGATGAATTCAGTTGTTAGTTGTTGAGATTGTCTATATCTTCAGAACATTTAGGGAACTAAGAAAAGACTCTTTTAGCTTGGTTTGGGTGAGATAACGTATCTAGATAATCCCTCAATTATGGGATTGACTGAATAGCTTATTTCACACCTATATAGTAAGGGACTCTTGTTAGCTCAGTTTGGGTGAGATAAAGTATCTAGATAAGCCCTCAATTAAGGCATTGACTGAATAACTTATTTCACACCTATATTATATGGCAATTATTTTACTTCTTCACTAATTGATTCCATAAACCAGCACTCCATGAATCATCACTATAAAAAACAAATGGCAAACATTCTGTTTTTTCCATTGAATCTCCAGTGGGGAATTAAAAAGACTTTCAGAGGAAAGACTCTACAGACTCCAAGCAAATATTTCAGAAAGGGGCTAGAATGACATTCTCCTGCAAGCTCTTTACACCAGCTTGACTTATCCCCCCAAAAGTAGGATATGGCTATTAAAATTCCCCTTTGCAGATGAGAAAAGTGAAGTTCAGAAAGTTTGAGTAATTTGCCTAAAACCAGCAAGTGATGGAATTATGGAGCTAAGTGTGGTGTTCACATGTTCAAAGTGTGGTGTTCACATGTTCACATGGTGTGCCATGTTCTACTGCTTGCCTTACACCAACAAAACAAAAGGAAACAAAATTTTAAAAATGGATATACTTAACTGTTGTTAATTCTCATAAAAAATATACAGGAAATGCAAATACATCCCACTGTAAAAGCAGAACAACTTTATAAACCTCTGGTAGGCAAAAACTACATGTTAGCACCTCTCTTATCAGGTTAGCAGTTTAGTCAAAGTAGGCAATGTAAACGTGGTATCTAGAGCTTATTTTAAGTTTCTGGTAAGTCCTTGTAAATAGCCCATTTTGGAATTGCAAGGCTAATGGCAAAGGATTATCTTTCTTTTTTTCAACTTTTATTTTAAGTTCAAGGGTACAAATGTAGGTTTGTTACATGGGTAAACTCATGTTATGAATGTTTGTTGTACAAATTATTTGATCACCCAGGAATTAAACCTAGTACCCATAAGTTGTTTTTCCCTATCCTCTCCCACCCTCCTCCACCCTTCAGTAGGCCCCAGTGTGTACTGTTCCCCTCTGTATCCATATATTCTCATCATTCAGTTCCTACTTACAAGTGAGAGCATGTGGTATTTGGTTTGCAGTTCCTGTGTTAGTATGCCAAGGAAAATGGCCTCCAGTTTTATCCATGTCCCTGCAAAGGGCATAATCTCATTCTTTTTTTATGGCTACATAGTATTCCATGGTGTGTATGTACCACATTTTCTTTATCCAGTCTATTATTGATGGACATTTAGGTTGATTCCATGTCTTTGCTGTTGTGAATAGTGCTGCAATGAACACATGTGTGCATGCATCTTTATAACAGAATGGTTTATACTTCTTTGGGTATATACTCAGTAATGGGATTACTGAGTCAAATGGTACTAATGTCTTTGTGCCTCTTTGAGGAATCATCACACTGTCTTCCACAATGGCTAAACTAATTTATACTCCCACCAACAGTGTATAAGCATGGCAAAGGGTTATCTTTCTCTGTTCCTTTTGTATCAAAGCTTCATATTTTACACTATAACAGTATTTCTCAAACTGCATATTGATGTTAATTTAAAAAAACATGTACAGAGAAAAATATAAAATAAAACAGAATAAGATTTAAAAATAAGAAAACATTGGAATACATGTAATATGTGTTTCTCTGCTTCAGAACGTCTTCAAGACCTTAATATACCAGTGCTCATGGACTGGTTCTCAAGTGTATCTGACCACAGGACCTTTAGTCTTCTTTTTGAGTACTTCTATAACCATCTTATGTTTATGGAATATGCTTTTGAAAACACTGCCCATTTCAACGTTACTTTCTTGGAGACCCTAAAGTCTCAGAATTCCCAAGCTTTGTAAGATATAGGATAGTATTTGTATCTCTGACTATAAACCTTGTGACTAACTTATAACTTAAGAAAATGCTTCCGAAGTAAGCTAAATGGTAAGTCAAATAAATATATACATTGTTTGTTGAGGAAATCTTCAACAACAAATCTAGGTCATTTCATGACTGGTTCTTTCCTATCACTCAGGATTTCTCTGACTATCCAGTCCCAACCTCTTTTTGCCTCCTTCACATTCCTTGAGTCGATTTTTATCACATAACTCTGTTTAATTTTTTCATAACACTTATCAGTATCTTAAATCATTTTACAGTTTTTCTTGACTTAGAATCTAAGATGCATGAAAGTTGAGTCATTTATATTTCCAACAGCTACTATGGTGCCAAGTACATGTAGAACAGAAAGTTATTTCATTCATTCATGTATTCATTCATTCAACAAATATTTACTGAACACTTACCATGTGCCCAAAACCATTCTGGTTCTGGATCCAGCAATGAGTAAAACAGGTATCAGTTTACTCCTTGAATTTTGTGCATACTGGATTTGTTTTAATTAAACAACACTGCATTCTCTTTGGGGATGGCATGTTTTAAACCAGTGTGGTTATTATATAAAATTCAAATTACAAATAACTAATTTACCTAATTTTGTAAATATAAATTTTCATATGGCTTGTTTTTCTGTAGTTCGTAGTTATTTGTTTTAAATCAAAGAGCCAAAAAATTTTTTTATTGCATTTTAGGTTTTGGGGTACATGTGAAGAACATGCAAGATTGTTGCATAGGTACATACATGGCAGTGTGATATGCTGCCTTCCTCCCCATCACCTATATCTGGCATTTCTCCCCATGCTATCTCTCCCCAAATTCCCACCCCCTCCTGTCCCTCCCCTATTTCCCCCCTACAGACCCCAGTGTGTGATGCTACCCTCCCTGTGTCCATGTGTTCTCATTGTTCAATGCCCACCTATGAGTGAGAACATGCGGTGTTTGATTTTCTGTTCTTGTGTCAGCTTGCTGAGAATGATGGTTTCCAGGTTCATCCATGTCCCTACAAAGGACACGAACTCATCGTTTTTGATGGCTGCATAATATTCCATGGTGTATATGTGCCACATTTTCCCTGTCCGGTCTATCATCGATGGAGAGCCAAAAATTTTATGTGTATCATCTCATTTAATCCTGACAACAGACCTGTGGAGTAGAGGCTATTTTCTCCATTTGATACATGAGGAAAGTGATGTTATAGAAATAGCTTTCCCAAGACACTTATCTGGTAGATACGTATTATATGAATATAAGTCCAGTAGATTTGAAATCAAAGCTCACATCCATTACTACCACATCCACTGCCTACTTCTGATATTAATATAACCCAAGAGTTATTAACAGAGAAAAAAGCCAGAAGCAGCAAAAAATGCCTTAAGTCAGTGGGCCTTTGTATTGCATTTTGTGATTGTGTGAATTCTCTCTGATTCTTTGCATTTGAACTCCATTTCAAAATTCTGGACAATGCATCTTATTACCTCCCAAAGATCCCACTGGAATCACAGGCAGGTGTGTGCACCACCTCAGAGGTAGTGACTTCTATATTTCTGACACTTACTATCTCCCTAGAGAATAAGACCATGTGGTTATATTTTGTTGCAAGGATGCTGCAAAGGGAAGATAAAACCAACAAAGGAGCTGAAAGAAACCAAATAAAAGAGGACAATAAGGAGAATAAAGACAAGTTTAAAATAAGCTAAATTTAGAAATCATTTGAAGTTCCATTGTTACACAATTTGTCTTGCTTTCCAGCAGTCCAAGTTCTGCTGACTTGATGTGTGACCTTACCAGGTCTCCTTGCCCTTCTCTGTCAGGCTTAGGACACTGTGGAGTGTAAAACCAGCCCTGGGCTGTTGAATTCTGACTTCTTTAATGTGGGATAGCAAGCCTGGTATGTTTACATAATTGTTATTTTGGATTTTTCCATTATATACAGCCAGATATAATTCTAATTGATACAATCAGTGTATATTTTTAGTATTTAAAAAGCTACATTTGAAAAATCCCTTGAGAATGGACAAAATACTCAAAGAATTTAAAAAGTGGCAGTATAAATAGCTATAAGGAAAAGAACACTAAAGAAGAAGGGAAGCAGAGAGGAGAATAAGGGAGGTTGAGAAGACTGAGGATGAGAGAGAAATAGGTGGAGAAAAGGAAGAGGAGAAGGAGGAGAGAGGGAGGGAATGGGAAAAGGAAGGGGGAATAAAAAAGAGAAGACAGAGAAGAAAAACGAGAAGGAGAAGAAAAGAAGTAGGAGAACAAGAAGAAGAAAGAAAAGGAGGGAGTGGAGAAAGGGAACAATAGCAGCAAGAAAAGAAGGAAAAGATTCCATTGAAATGTAAACTGAAACTCCTTCACTGACATTTAACTCATATCCTCCATAATCTTGGTAACTGTGGAGCTCTCCTTATTTGTAGAATACAACTTTTCCCAAGTATTTCATTATTACATTCTTCTAGTATTTCCATCCAAATCCATAAAACTAAGGCTCATAGTAGGTTGGTGCAAATTAATTTTTAATGGCAAAAACTGCAATTACTTTTGCACCAACCTAATGATGGGCCAGTATGCTCTTTTAAGTTAACTTGATCAAACCCAGAGGTCATTTATTAACTAAATTTTATCAATTTATACTAATGTAAGTATTCTGGGAAGGTTTACAAATGAACCTTTTTCTCACTTTCCTCACTGAGGCCAGAATCTTCCTGGGGTTTGTACCTGACTTCAATTTTTTTTTCAAGCTCCAAGTCAAAATCATTTCTCCCTCTCCCTTTGATCCTCCCATCTGGAGTGGGTTGACCCTCTCCTGAGAATCTAGGTCCAATCCTATCCACCACAGACTGGTTAGAAGGTGCTTGGAGAAGATGATGGCTATTCCCTAAAAGAAGACTCTAATGCTTGCCACACTCATATTTGGCTAGGGTGCAGGCCTTGCTTTGGCCGATGCAAATGGGCAAAAAAGTAAATGTGAGAAACAGAAAGACTTCTGTTCACTCCCACTCCTTGATTAGAGAAAGACTCTCTGGCAGAAAGAGAGAAAATGTGAAGAGGAAATAATGAAGAGAGATTACAGGGGAAAGAGGAAAGAGGAGGTGGCATTACCAGAGGGAAAAGGAAGAGGAGCTAGACCAGTGTCTGAGGATGGTCCAGGATCTACTTCATCAATATTTCCCATTGGCCACAGCTGGGGACACAAGGAGGAGCCATCATAGAGCCCCAGGCCACTCCTGGGAGCCCTGTACTCACTGCCACACTAGTTTTCCTTCCTGCTGGCACAGGATGAAGATGTTTCTTCAGCAACAATGGTACTTTGCCTGTTTATCAGTAGATGTGATCTTCATTTTAGCCCATGTATCATTGTTTCAGCCAAGATCTACTTGCCTTTTGTGAATAATCCCCTGCCTTATCCTCCACCACCCGCCAGCTGCCTCTACCACTCACAACACTCAGAGGGTCTCAGGACCCAGCAAGCTTGCAGGGTAGAGCTAACTGGTAAGGAGAAGCCTTCCAGACTTGGGTTTTACATAAACTAAACAAATTGAGCTCTAAACTCTCACCACGGTTGGAAATTCTGCTGTCATTCCCACTATTTGTTGAGCCTGAACTTGCTCCTCCATTGCTCAATCTTTTGTTTAGCAGCTGTCTTCAGGTTCATGTTCCTATATGTGTCTCCCCTTTAGTAACTGATCCTTGGCTTCATTTGCAAGTTCCAGTGCCTAATATGACTACACAAAACCATTTAATTTCCATTCATATGTGGTCAGCTCAGTCCTGGATCAGCCATCCTTTTTCACCTGGCAGTCTTTTTGCCTTCTGCAGATGAGCTTTCTTTTCACCACAGAATTAGAGAGGAGCTATTCAACATCGAGCAATTCACAATCACAATTTTGTATTCTTATTTTCTTCTTTACTAAAGCAGAAGCCAGAACAAAAGAAAAACGTTTGCTATAGAGATTCACATGTGAAATCTGGTTTTGCAAGTCAGAGGGCAATTAGTGTAGTGGCTCTTGCTCCAGCCCCATCCTGTTTTTGGCTTTTGAAGCTAATGCTTGTGTTATTAATTTGCACCAGATGGATGCTTAGCAACAATCAAACGTGATGTATTAAATATGAAACTACTTTCTGAAGGAGCTCAGAATCACAAAACAAGATCATTGGAAAAAAGCCCTTGAAAACCCCTGTAAATAGAACATAAAAATCTGAAAGATATATGAAGATCATTTCCCCACATTCCATTTATTGATAAATAAGCTAGAGTAAATCAAATCAATTAAATTTTTGGAGTGGTCTAAATTAATTTGGTTTCATTTTATGGTATTTGCTCTCCAAACTGAGAAAACTCAGTTTAGTTTTCTTCATGGCATGGTAACAGAAATAATTTTTGAGTGATGTTGAAGCTTATTTAAATCTGATCCAAAGGACAACATAACATTTAAATTATGTTATATAACTCTTATGTAAACGTACAAGATAAGTTTTCTGCTGAAACTAACAACCTCCAAATTTTAATGGCTTAACATTGTAAAAGTGTATTCTTTGCTATTTTTACATTTCAATGTGGGTTGTGCTGGGAGGAGGTGACCCTTCTCCATATAGTCATTTAGGGATCCAGGCTTCTCTCTGTTGCTCCACCATCCCTTGGAGCCTGAGACCCATCACTGAATCCATAACTCCTGCTGGTAGGTCGAGGAAGAAAACAGAGCAGTGCATGGAAATTTTTTTATAGGCCAGGCCTGGAAGTTAGTTGTACATCACTTTTGTCCACATTATTGGTCAGAACTCAGTCACATGGCCACACCTTACTGCAAGGGATGCTATAAAAATGTAATGCTGCCTGTTTGCAGAGGAAAGGGGAACGAGTTTGGTAAAAAAGTTTCAGACCTCAAAAGATTGGAAAAGATTCCTTGCTCAGCATAGGAAAACCAGAGATAGAAGAAAGCGTCACTTATGAAAAAACAAAGGCACAAAGCAAGGGACTGCAGTTTTCAGCATTAATAAAACATGCATAACATTTTAAAAGGGCTGAAGGGCCAGGCACGGTGTCTCACACCTGTAATCCCAGCACTTTGGGAGGGGGAAGCAGGCAGATCACCTGACCTAAGAAGTTCAAGACCAGTCTGGCCAACATGGCGAAACCCCGTCTCTACTAAAAATAAAAAATTAGCCAGGCATGGTAGTGTCTGCCTATAGTCCCAGCTACCAGGGAGGCTGAGGCAGGAGAATTGCTTGAACCCAGGAGGTGCAGGTTGCAGTGAGCTGAGATTACACCACTGCACTCCAGTCTGGGCAACAGAGTGAGACTTTCTCTGAAAAAATAAAAAATAAATAAAAGGGCTGAGGTCATGTCTCAGATGAAGCACCTCCTTTGGATTCTGGAAGGTATATATTTGATGCCCATGACTTAGTGGTAACACAACTCTTCAGTCACTCTCAAATTTTAACAGTAGCAGTTATTCCAGCATCTATTATGTTTATGATGTTTGTGCTCTGTTATTTTAATAATTTTTATATTTAATTTTATTTATATAATCTTATGATAAAAAGTATGCCTCATATTTCAGAAAGTCCTGGGAACACGTGTGTGTGTGTGTGTGTGTGTGTGTGTGTGTGTGTGTGTGTGTGTGTGTGTGTGTTGGTGGGAGTAATGGATGAATGCTGTGAAGAGAAGCAGGCAGTGGGCTAAAATATTCTAGTGAAAGCAATCTTTCATAGCAATTAATTGCCTCTGAGAATTTGTGAAAGGTTGAATAGACTCTTTTATCCCCAAACTGTACTATCAAGCATTAGAAATGCTAGTTATTGACTATTGATGGCTATTTTGTTGGAAATATATTGAAATTTTGTAGCATCTTCTGCTCTTGCCACTTTCTACATAACAATTCACAATTCTGAAGATGTGGGATAATGGAATGTTGATGGAATTCAGTAGATATTTTCAGAGAAAAATCACTGAAGAATCTTGATAACATGACTAAGAAGCTAGAGAAAGTGAATGCTGCTTATTCCTGTTTAAGTCTCCTTTCTCTGATTATACATTACTGATGGCTCTGTAGAAAGTATGAAAACACTTAGAGAAAACAGTTTTTTAAAGTAAAAGCTAAAAATACATTAAATCATCCTCCTGGTGGACAGCACAGCTCCATGATATTTTAAAAGCCTCAGATACATTTGTGCTTAGAAATAACTGGAAGAGAGCATTGTCTCCTTAGTCTTTAGAGATGTGGGGATTTGAAAGGTTTCAATGTAGAATCTGAAATATCTGTCTGACTCACAGAGTCTATAGAGGAGGAAGCAGAGACACAGTTAAGAGCACAGATTCTGCAGCCAAAATGCCTGCATTCAATTCTGACTGGCCATCTACTACCCTTGTGACTTTAGCCAAGTCACCCAACCTTTCTGTGTCTGTTTCCTCTTTTTAAAAATGGAGATAATATTAGTACCTAACACAAAGGCTTGTGGTAGGTATGTGATGTTAGGCAGGCTCTTGGGAGGGATATAGCACCTCTGTAATAGGGACATCCTTAAGGGCAGGGTGTCTCTCTCTCTCTCTCTCTCTCTCTCTCTCTCTCTCTCTCTCTCTCTCTCTCACTCTCTCTCCCCTCCCTATTCCCCTCACCTCAGTACTTGACATTCTTGGTTCATTGTAGGTAATGACCTGATGAATGTTTTCAAACATATTCTCTGGATTTCCATGAAGCCACCTTGAATGACACATTATGCTACAGAGAAAGTTCAGCAAAATCTCAGTGTGTAGAGTCTTACAAATTGAAATATGGTTTTAGGGCTCACCTAAAAACATTTTCATGATGTTTAATCCATTTATGTTTCCAACCCTGACCTACAGGGGACCATGCCTTGCTTTTGTTTTCTTCATTTATTTATTTTTAAAACTGATAAAGGACTTTAATACATACTTCACCAGCAAGCAGTTGAAAGATGTTTAACATCATAACTTTTTAATGTTGATTTTATTTTACTTTTTTAAATTATACTTTAAGTTCTGGGGTACATGTGCAGATCATGCAGATTTGTTACTTGTTTTGCTTTTGGGCCAGACGACAAATTAATACAGGATAGGAAAAGAATGCCAAAAGTCAACCTGGGGACTAAACCACCATTTTCATCTATTTTTTTTTTCTTGTTGCCCAGGCTGGAGTGCAGTGATGCGGTCTCGGCTCACTGCAACCTCTACCTCCTGAGTTCAAGCGATTATCCTGCCTCAGGCTCCAGAGTAAGTGGGATTACAGGCACCTGCTACCACACCCGGCTAATTTTTGTAATTACAGTAGAGATGGATTTCACCATGTTGGCCAGACTGGTCTCGAACTCCTGACCTCAGGTAATCTGCCCCTCTTGGCCTCCCAAAGTGCTGGGATTACAGGTGTGAGCTACTGCTCCTGGCACCATTTTCATCTTTTATGTTAAGTTTTAATCTTGAACTCCTGGAACATTTTCACAGAAAAGGCAGGTCCAGGATTTTTTGTGGCCTCTTCCACAGGAGAAAGTAGAGGAGCTAGAGGCCTCTAAAAATTTAGTTAGGAAAATCTGAAGTTATTCAGAGCAACCTGGCAGAGGAGAATGTGAAATCCCTGGGTCTCAGATAAGAGGCTTATTCATCTAGAATGGCAAGTGAAAATCAGGATGGCTGAGATGGACAAGTAGAGTGGCAGTGGCCCCAGCTACTGGAGAAATACAAAAATAGGATTAAAAAAATGACAACTAGAAGTTTCCAGGGTCTGACAGTGTTGAGAGCTGCAGTGAATACTGACTTCAATTTACAGGGAAATGTAAATAGAAAGGGTCAGGAAGTTGATCCAGAAATGTTTTTAGTCATTACTGTGTCTTATAACTGTATGATACTTTATGAGCTACGGAAGTCATGAAGTGATTGGATCCAAGCAGTAAGGTGAGGTAGCAGGTAGACCTGTTTTGTAGGATAAGAACAGTGGCTGTGAGATTGAGTAGAAACAAACCGACAGCCAATATCACACTGAATGGGCAAAAATTAGAAGCATTCCCTTTAAAAACTGGTACTAGACAAGGATGCCCTCTCTCAGCACTTCTATTCGATATGGTATTGAAAGTTCTAGCCAGAGCAATTAGGCAAGAAAAAGAAATAAAGGGGATTCAGTTAGGAAAAGAAGAAGTCAAATTATCCCTATTTGTAGATGACATGATCATATATTTAGAAGACCCCATCGTCACAGCCCAAAACCTCCTTAAGCTGATAAGCAACTTCGGCAAAGTCTCAGGATACAAAATCAATGTGCAGAAATCACAAGCATTCCTATACACCAACAACAGACAAACAGAAAGCCAAACCATGAGCAAACTCCCATTTACAATTGCTACAAAGAGAATAAAATACCTAGGAATACAACTAACAAAGGAGGAAAAGATCTCTTCAAGGAAAACTATAAACCACTGATCAAGGAAATAAGAGAGGATACAAACAGATGGAAAAACATTTCATGCTCATGGTTAGGAAGAACCAATATTGTGAAAATGGCCATACTGCCCAAAGTAACTTATAGATTCAATGCTATTCCCATCAAGCTACTATTGACCTTCTTAACAGAACTGGAAAAAAACCACCTTAAACTTCATCTGGAACCAAAAGAGAGCCCACATAGCCAAGACAATCCTAAGCAAAAAGAACAAAGCTGGCGGCATCATGCTACCTGATTTCAAACTATACTACAAGGCCCAAGTATTCAAAACAGGATGGTACTGGTACCAAAACAGAGATGTAGACCAGTGGAACAGAACAGAGGCCTCGGAAGCAATGCCACACGTCTACAACCATCTGCTCTTTGACAAATCTGACAAAAACAAGCAATGGGGATACAATTCCCTGTTTAATAAATGGTGTTGGGATAATTGGCTAGCCATTTGCCGAAAACAGAAACTGGACCCCTTCCTGATACCTTACACTAAAATTAATTCCAGATGGATTAAAGACTTAAACATAAGATCTAACACCATAAAAACCCTAAAAGAAAATCTAAGCAAAACCATTCAGGACATATGCACAGGAAGAACTTCATGACTAAAACACCAAAAGCAATGGCAACAAAAGTCAAAATAAACAAATGGGACCTAATTAAACTTAAGAGCTTCTGCACAGCAAAAGAAACAATCATTAGAGTAAATCATCAACCAACAGAATGGGAAAAAATTTTTGCAATCTACCCATCAGACAAAGGGCTAATATTCAGAATCTACAAAGAACTAAAGCAGATTTACAAGAAAAAAACAAACAAACCATTCGAAAGTGGGCAAAGGATATGAACAGACACTTTTCAAAAGAAGATAAATATGCAGCCAACAAACATATGAAAAAAATGCTCATCATCACTGGTCATTAGAGAAATGAAAATCAAAACCACACTGAGATACCATCTCATGACAGTTAGAACGGCAATTATTAAAACATCTGGAGACAACAGATGCTGGAGAGAATGTGGAGACAAAGGAACACTTTTAAACTGTTGGTGGGAGTGTAAATTAGTTCAACCATTATGGAAGACAGTGTGGCGATTCTTCAAGCATCTAGAAATAGAAATTCCATTTGACCCATCAATCCATTACTGGATATATATCCAAAGGATTATAAATCATTCTATCATAAAGACACATGCACACATATGTTCACTGCAGTGCTGTTTACAATAGCAAAGACCTGGAACCAACGCAAATGCCCATCGATGATAGACTGGACAGGGAAAATGTGGCACATATACACCATGGAAAACTATGCAGCCATAAAAAATGATGAGTTCATGTCCTTTGTAGTGACATGGATGAACCTAGAAACCATCATTCTTAGCAAACTGACACAAGAACAGAAAACCAAACATCACATGTTTTCACTCACAGGTGGGTGATGAACAATGAGAACACTTGGGCACAGGGAAGGGAACAACATTCACAGGGCTGGGGGGGGTGGGGGGGAGGAACAGCAGGGGTGGGCAGGGAAGACGGGTAGAGATAACACCAGGAGAAATGCCTGACAGAGGTGATGGAGGGAGGGGGGATGGAGACGGCAAACCACCATGGCATGTATGTACCTATGCAAGAATCCTGCAGGATGCAGGACATGCACATGTACCCCAGAGCCCAAATGCAATAAAAAAATAATAATAAAAATGGAAGGAAGGAAGGAAGGAAGGAAGGAAGGAAGGAAGGAAGGAGGGAAGGAGGGAAGGAGGGAAGGAGGGAAGGAGGGAAGGAGGGAAGGAGGGAAGGAGGGAGGGAGGGAGGAAGGGAAGGAAGGAAAGAAGGAAAGAAGGAAGGAAGGAAGGAAGGAAGGAAGGAAGGAAGGAAGGAAGGAAGGAGGGAAGGAGGGAAGGAGGGAAGGAGGGAGGGAGGGAGGAAGGGAAGGAAGGAAAAAAGGAAGGAAGGAAGGAAGGAAGGAAGGAAGGAAGGAAGGAAGGAAGGAAGGAAGGAAGGAAGGAAGGAAGGAAGGAAGGAAGCTAGTAAATGGTTAAGCCAGATCAGCATGGAGAGGTTTGGGTCAAAATTCAATGTTCTTTCCACTGCTCTGAGCTGCTTTGCACTTTATCTGCTGCATGACAAAAGATGCAGAAAAACCTATAGCAGTGATATGAATGCCACAAATTCTGCTTTCAATGGACACCTACCGATGTGACACATTTTGTGCAACTGTATATGTACAGCAATCACAGAATGTGACACATGTTGGAGGGTCTTAGACCTCCTCTATTCTAGCCCAGACTTCTCAGTTGCAGAGGAAAAAATCCTTGAGGTGTGACCCTGCTGTGCAATAGGGAGTTGTGTTAGAGTTTTGTTCCTCCATCCCTACTATTCAGTCCAGGATGGAGGCCTTCCTGGGCCCTCTTCCTACAGGAGAGGGGCTAGTTTCTATTAAGTGTTGCAAAGAAAAACATTTCCCTAGAGATCTTTTTCTTTAGTGAAAACCATGCTTCCATTTCTTCCAATGAGGAAATAAGTTGAAAAATAAAACAATATAGCTTATATATACCAGCATAGACAACTATAAAATAAGAATCCCTGGTTTCTTACCTACACTCACTCAATAAAGTATTACAAACAATTTCAGAATGCTTATTTTATGAATCAGTTTGTCACATTTCTTGGAATTGAGGACCAAAATCAGTATTTCCTCATAAGTATAGTTCTTATTTGTTCTTAAAGGAAGAAAAGTAGTGCATATAAAGTACTTATACAATGCCAGATACAAAGCAACAATCAATCCATGTTTAGTATTATCTTTAATTCACTCTACAGCATCACTCTATCAAGACATATAAACCTTCAGAATGAGCTACTATAGCAATTTAATTGTTCCATTTGTTCTTTCCTTTGCTGCACTAGAAGACTAGAATATAGAAATTTCTATCACTTTCTGGAAATGTTTGAAGTATAAGCCATTTCTGTGGATACAATTTATGTATGTATGTATGTATGTATGTATTCAGATATGGAGTTTCACTCTTGTTGCCCAGGCTGGAGTGGAACGGTGTGAACTTGCCTCACTGCAACCTCTGCCTCCTGGGTTCAAGCAATTCTCCTGCCTCAGCCTCCCAAGTAGCTGGAACTACAGGTGTGTGCCACCCCGTACAGCTAATTTTGTATTTTTAGTAGATACAGGGTTTCACCTTGTTGGCTAGACTTATCTCAAACTACTGACCTCAAGTGATCCACCTACCTGGGCCTCCCAAAGTACTGGGATTACAGGTGTGACTGCACCCAGACAAACATACAATTTGGATAGGCTGTGGTTTTTAGAAGCCATCAAGACCAACTTTTAAAGACTAAAGAGAATCTAGTTTCAGGGGCACCACAAGGAAGCCTGAAGAAGGGAGCAAAGAGGGGTTTTCCCTAGATTAGCAAGATCTTCCACTAGCCTGGCAAGAGATAAGATGGCTGAGCCCTAGAGACCTGAGTCCTGAAAGGTCTGATGGAACCATGAGACCAAAAAAGTCAGAGCAGAAAAGAAGACAGGCTCCAGTGTTCCCAGCTGTGCAGAATGAGGCCTAGAAACCAAAGGGTGCCATGGGATTTCAACGGAATGTAATGATGACAGAAGCAAACTTGAAACCTTGGTGAATGGAGGTACTTTTCCCTCTTTCTAGGTACCAAGTAATATCCCTAATTCCACAGTGATGCTGAGAAGCAAAGGGGGCCCTTAGAAGTAGTCTCTCATAAGGTATCTGTGGCTTGCCTGGAAGAACAGAACCTCAGAATCAGGAATTGTGGTGCTTCGTAGGGTACTTAAAAGGTCATATTTCTTGCACATCTGTCCTGTATTCTGAGTCATACTTCCCACATTGCTTATCATTTACAATAGCACTTTTTTAAAAAACAGGATTATAAAGATCAAGTTGAGAAGGCATATAATTCATCCATTTAAAGGATAACATTCAATGGCTTTTCCTATATTCACAGAGTCATACACGCATTGCCACAACCAATTAAAAAACGTTCATTGCAAATTTCAAATAAACAATACAGTATGATTAACTATAGTCACCCAGGTTGTACATTAGA